AGGAATCATTGATTTCCCACATCCTCTTTCTAGCCTCCTCGGCATCTTTAGCCTTTCTTTCTTCCCATAATTCTTCCCCAATAAGGCCTCGTGTCACCACCTCATTAAAAGTCATGTTATTTTGGTACGCCGCCCTCTCACGCACTTCCAAATTCAACGCGTTCCAGAAGTGGTCGACCATACGGTCCTCATTCCCTGCATATTCAGGAAGATATCTAGCCAAGTCTCGAAACTTTTGCTCCAATTGTTTGACGGTGTACTCGTCACCTTGTTTGATGGTAGTGTACTCCCTCCTCTTTTGATTTACTTCAAAGGAAGAGTAGTATTGTCTATAGAATTCAAGCTCGAAGTTGTCCCATGTGACGTCTCCGTGATATTTCCCCTTGACACCCTCCCACCATGTTGAAGCTAATCCCTCCAACATTCTAGTGGCAACTCTCATCTTTAGGTTAGGCGTCAATTGCATATCATCGGCTGCCTCATTAAGCCTCTTAACCCATTCATCGGCCTCAGATATATCCCCCGTCCCATCGAACGGTTTACATCCGAGCGCCCTTGCCTCCTTAAGATATTTAGAGACCCTTATAATAGGACTCTCGGTACTTGGATTTCTAGTACCCTCTCTACGTGCCCCGCACGCGTCACGACTCCCCCTCTTGGAAGCCACTTGCCCAATTCGCCTCTCTTGGCGTTGTTTCTTTCTTTGTTCCCGTTCACGTTGGTATTTTTCAAATACCTGACTAATTCCATCCAAGGAGACATCATTGTCCTCCTCACCAATAGATTCATCACTCTCCTCATATGAAGTTTCAGAAGGTTCTGTTTCGGGTTTATACGTTGAGTCTTCTTCAGACTCCCAAGACCTATACTCGGTCTCAAACTGTGCGTTATCCCTCGTTTGGATCCCTTGGCCTCCTCGGCCTCTCCCTTTTCCTCTAGATACTCTAGAGTTTCCCCGGTTGACATGCCCAGTTTCTCCCGGTGCACGCCCTATCCGATCATTCCTAGTCATCATGCCTCCACCTCGCATTTCTGAAAGAAATTTTTGGAATGAGTCATCAGACTCGCTTCAATGTCAACTGACAGATAAGTACTTAAGACACCATTTGGCTCAAATCACCGCCATACCAATTGTTAAGGGGCCCGTCTTAACAATTAGAGACTTTGCAACTCAAGTACCAAAGGCTCTTTCAGCACAAAACTTTTATGCTCATGGTTTCAAAAATCATTTTGAAGAAAACACTTTTGAGGAACTTCATTATGAAGTTTATGGAACCTGGCTCTGATACCATTTAATTGTCACGCCCCGGTCTGGCCGGACGCGCTAACAACCGCCGCATAATCCGATTAAGGCAACCGCAGTTCACCCTACTCGAACCATGCAAGGCGTACATGAATACCATTCACACAAGTACATCCATAAACAATCATAAATAAAGCATTTCAAGTATACGCAGCGGAATACAATTATCTTTAAAAGTAAAAGGCCACACAGGGCGAACATGAGCACGCAGGCTCCCAAATCATTTATAATTTAAAATAGTTCCATGAGCATTATTTTATTTATATCAAATAGAACTGGAAGAAGCACGAACCACGTCTTCTCTCCATAGATCACCCGAAGCAACGGGAACAGGAAGCAAGCTCTAGCTTCTACCTGAAAAACTGTGAGGTGGCCTCCCCCGTGAAGGGGAGGTCAGTACTTGGAAGCATTTGACAAGTACAATGACAACTATACTGAATATAATTCATGTTTCAAACACAAGACCCTCAAAATAGGGTGATACTATATTATGGGCATAACCTACAGCTACCCCATTTCAAATCACTTGTATAGAATATATATACCAAGTCAAATAGCCGACCCGTAGGTCCATTTGTATTTCAAAAGAATTCCCCTTGTACAGCCCTTGGCCTATTCTTGCATATAGCAATATCGAGAGGTTATCCCACCCCTAGTCTAAACCCAACTCCATCGAGAGGGTTACACAATTTATCATTTGTACTCGTCCACGTTGGACTTACCCACCCTACGGGTGTATTCATTCATTTGGGCTTACACCCCCAGCATTATATCTTTGATTCATTTAGGGCTTACACACCCCGTATATTCTTAGTTCGTGTAGGGCTTACACACCCCGTATAATACTTTACTCGTTTAGGGCTTACACACCCCGCGTAATACTTTACTCATTTAGGGCTTACACACCCCGCGTAATACTTTACTCATTTAGGGCTTACACACCCCGCGTAATACTTTATCATGTAGGGCTTACACACCCCGTATAATACTTTATTCATTAGGGCTTACACACCCCGCGTAATACTTTATTCGTGTAGGGCTTACACACCCCGCGTAATATCCTTTATCTCGTTAGGGCTTACACACCCCGTATATATATCCCCGTATACTCATTGTATACGAGCAATCATAATCTATCAACCTCGGGCTAGTCTTCATCAAGACTCCCCGGGCTGCCTTCATATAGTCTAGGTAGACTCCACCATTTTCTTTGAGTGCGACCATAGTCCATCACTCATTCTAAGTTCATGCCTATCTAATTCAATACTATAGATAGCACATACAATTAATCTCTACGGATTCATATCACTTTGATCATGTCAATAACTCAAGTATTCCTTACTTCACATTTAATCATATTGCCTATCCACATAGGTATCCATATATCCCTTTTTAGATCTTATGGAATCACGCATTTATCAACATTTGTCTATATCATGCTAATCCTCTATATCAATTCAATAATTAATATATTTCAAGGATTTCTCCCCTCATGCATAATGCCTTTGCTTATCCACCTTAGTAATATCATGTATCAATTTGTATCACCACATAGCAACACATTTATTCACATTGGAGTATATCATTTAATTCCATCAAAATCATAATTTGATTACTTAGGTAATCTCATGCTCAACTCACGAGTTATAGACAATATAGTCAGCCATCCTCACCTTAAATATGTCCAGCAAGGTTGCCTATTGAAGCCCCGTCGTTAAACCTTCGATCGGGAATGATCTGAATCCACCTTGGCTGGCAGAGGACAAAAGCCGCCCGGCTTTTGCAAAAGCTGCCCGGCTTTCGGGTTCTGCTGCACGAAAACAGCACCTAGAAGTGGCGGTTTCCGGCGATTTCGATTCCTATCGATTCAACAACTCTTCTAAGTTAATTACCAACACTTTATATCATATTTCTACACTTTTAAACGTGTAGAACATCCCCTAAAATCCATCATATGATTTCTATAAAATCATATATGAAAACTATATAAAATGAAAGAACAATAACCATAGCTATGAGATTCTTACTTCTAGGACTTGTTTTGCCTGGATTGCTCCCCTCCTTGGCCTTCTTCCTTCTTGATTCTTTGTGGTGTGTGTGTATAGAGCTCTCAAGAATCCCCTCCCTCTTTCCTAGCTCTCATACGTATGGTTCAAAAAGGAGAGGAGAGGATGAGGCTCCCTCTCTTATCTCTTCTATTTTTTGTAAGGTTGGGCCAATTAAGTTGGGTTGGGTTCATGGGCTGTTTATTTTTATTACTCCAACCCAATGTATTAGTTAATCTCCTCATCCATTATATTTTGGTTATATTTAGTATGGGCTACCCCGATTAGAGTGTAGGCAACCCTTCACCCTTATACCTGCTATTTTCGGTAATTTGGGAAAAATGCCACTTTGGTTACTTGATATATCTCGGTTTGGGCCTAAATGACTTTTATTCATTTATTTATATCATTTTAGGCTAGTAGACCATAGTAGGTCGATCCTAAAATGTATTGGATAGTCCTCCCCAATATTCCGGGCTCAAACTCATTTATATTTCTATTTTTTTTGTAAGTGGACACAAATGGTCTCTCGTCTTATTCCCTTACCTTTTATTCGGCCCAAACAATAATATTGTACTTACTCCCTTATCCTTGGGCTTTTATTTAATTTATCTTGGTCCAAGAATATATTAGTTAGTATCTCCCCATGTTTGGGGTCCGACCCACAATTTAATAAATCGGTATTAATTTAATCAATTAATCATTTCTAGTATGATTAATATACTTGTAACTAGTTTTCAAAGTGAATATATAATCATGACTTTAACTAATTTTCCTTGTTGAAATCAGTATTTGTACTTTCACTCAGATTTTAATATCAATGGATTAATAAATCCAAGTTTAAATTGGGAGCGGTGTTACACTGGAGCTAGTTCACACAGATGTGTTTGGCCCGACACCATTCTCTTCCCTGGGAGGATCAAGCTACTATGTGACCTTCATTGATGACTCAACACGCAAGGTATGGATCTACTTTCTTAAAAATAAGTTTGAAGTTTTCAATATTTTTAAGAAGTGGAAAACAACTGTTGAATTGGAAACTAATTTGAAGGTAAAATGCTTGAAATCGGAAAATGGTGGTGAATACATTAACACAGAGTTTATTGATTATTGTGCTGAACATGGCATTCAGATGATAAAGACGGTTCCAGGCACTCCTCAACAGAACGGAGTGGCAGAAAGGATGAACAGAACTTTGAATGAGAGGGCCAGGAGTATGAGACTCAATGCTGGGCTTCCAAAGACGTTCTAGGCTGATGCAGTGAATACTGCTGCTTATCTTATCAACCGGGGGCCATCAGTACCATTAGGTTTCAAGATACCGGAGGAAGAATGGAAATGAGAAGCTGTCAAATATGAGCATTTAAAAATATTTGGTTGCAGCGCTTATGATCTTATGAAAGATGGTGACAAGTTAGATGTTAAAGCCAAGAAATACACTTTCATTGGATACGGGGGAGACAGCATGGGTTACCGGCTTTGGGACTTTGAAAGCAGAAAGGTAATCAGAAGTAAGCATGCTACATTCAACGAGGCTGAACTTTATAAAGACAGAAGCACAACAAACTCAAAGATTCAGAAAGAGCAAGTTGAGTTTGAAAATGAAGTCATCAGAAAGAGAGATCCTGAAGATACTCAAGATAGTGGGAGCATGGAGAATGATTCCAGTACTGACGAGCTTGAGGATAATCAAGGAGACTATGTTGATAGTGATAATTCAGAAGATGAATCAGCACCTTCACTCGTGCAGCCGCAGCCCGTTGAAACACAATGGGCCAGGAGATCCACTGGAGTCACTAAACCTCCAGAAAGATTCAGTCCATCAGTCAATTACCTTCTTTTGACGGAAAACAGAGAACCAGAAAGTTACCTTGAAGCAGTAAAGCAGAATGATTCGTTTCAGTGGGAGCAGGCTATGAAAGAAGAACTGGGTGCCTTGCACAAGAATGGTGATTGCTCAAAAATTCTCCCTTGATTTTCAGCTTTTTACTTTAAATAAATAGAAAAGTACTTTTTTATGAGAGCCACATGTTGAAGTAATGCATGTTCATGATTATGTTTTTAAGTGTTTAAATTTGGATGATAAGGCTACAGATTTTCAATTAAAACAAATTGTACAAATCCATAATTTTACTCCTTGAACCAAACTGAAATGGATTTTATACCTTACAATGGACTTTTTTTTATCCTCAAAAAGTGTTTGGAGGTGTAACCCAGCAATTTATAAGTACTATGACTTGCATAAATTGCATCAGTCTCTAATTTTATTCACGAATAGAGAAGTGGTTTTGTATTTGATTTTTACCCCAAACAAAAGTCCAATTCAGAATGTTTAACATGTTACATAATACCAAAGTTGCATTTTATTAAGATTTAAGAGAGAGAAAACTCCACTTTTGATTAAAAGTGGAGTTTTTACATAATACCAAAACTGCATTTTATTGAGATTTGCAAATCTCAATGAGAAATGTGCGCTATAGGAGCAATGAGGATCCATACACCTGACAGCCTTATAGATGACATGCCAATTACGAAGGTAAGCTGGGTCCTATACTTAGAACGACGATTATGAATAAACAAAGTAGGGAGAATTAACTACCTGATCATCTTGGCACCTATGCATACTGAATAGGAATCAAAATAAGCTGTGGTTTAACATATTAAGTGCTGAATGAGACTTATATTCACATTATACATGACAATTAACCAAGCTGATCCAGGCTAGGTTTAAACCTGGCCTTTTCAAATAGGATGATGATTAGGAATAAACAAAGTATTTACAGTATGCTAGGAAACCCCTGTCTTTTAATCTGCTGATTAACCAAGCTGATCCAGGCATAGGTTTACACTTAGCTTTTTAAATTTTATTTCAATATATTTATATTGACATTAAACATGACAAATAACCAAGTTGATCCATGCATAGATTTAAACATTAAGTTGCTGAATCAGACTTATAAGTACATGCAAAATTTCTCCCTTGATTTTCAGCTTTTTCTCTACAATCTAATAAAACTGAATGAGGGTTAGACTGTTTTGGGTATAAATATTTTGTTGGTGGTACTGTGAGCTTAGAAATGTGGTTTTCACATCTATAAGAAAGTTGTGAGCTTACTAATGATTCCCAGGTACTCTTAGAAACGCAGAAAAGTGGTTTTCACATCTATAAGAAAGTTGTTCAAGTTCTAATGTTATGCTCAAATAGTGGAAATGGTCTTCTGTTTCTCTTTGAGGTACAATCTAAATATTTGTTTGGTATTTTCATTATTACCCTCTTTTTGGTGGATGACTGACTTTTTGCCACTTTTAATCCTTTCCAGCCACTTATCCAGCAAAAAATGAACTCAGAATTGGATGAAAAATGACTGGATGAGTGGTCCGAAACCATGAGACCATGAGTGACAGAAAGGCTATAGTCATTAGATCCAAAATGAAATGAGACAACAATGGAATATTCCAGTCAAAATAGCACCTGCAGTAATGATGCAAGTTGATATGGAAATCCAACAACTCCAAACAACGTTTTAGTAAGGAGATTCTGGAAGAATTGTTTCTTCTTGACCTGGAAGAATTCTTGATGGAGTAATTGTGTTTGACATTGTTGGGAGGAGAACGTCGAATAAAGATTAAAGAAGATGTTTAGGATTATCTTTTTTACTTTTGTCTTATAGGAAATTATGCATTGTATATCAGTAAAAATATATTTATATTTATTTGGGGTTAGAGCAGTTGTGTGCATAGTGGTGGAGGGTAATCTATTGATAACACCCTCCCAAAACTTCCTTCCAAATTTACTTGAAAAAGTTGAAATGCTTATTAAGAAAATAAAAATTGCGCGTTGATGTGAATAAAAGAGATTAAATAGAACATATCTAGAAAATGATAGTTGGAAAATTTCCTACACATTACCATTGTCCCTTCGAAAATGAGGCTTCACTCAGGTCTCAGTGTTGAAGACTGTCATTGATGCTCAATTAGGTTATGACCATCTACAAGAGTTGGAGGCTTTGTTTGGAGGCTCTGTTTGCAAGTGATTGTTCTTAAATAAAAGTACTTTTTGGGAAAAAGTGATTATTAGTAAAAGTTGGTAGTGTTTGGTAAAATAACTGATTTTTGTGTAATAGAAAAAGTAAAAAGTAGATTCTACACAAAAGTCGAGAAAAGTAAAAGTTGATAAGTGTTTGGTAAAATAAGTGATTTTTTCTTAAAAAAAGCCACAATCACTTAAAATAAGTGATTGCAAACAAGCCCGGAGTCTTGGAGATAATTATTGATAAGGGCTAATGTTTGTTTGCAACATGCACTTTTAGCAAACATTTTGAAAATCTTGATTCTCTTTTCATAGATAAATAATATGAAAGTTATGATCTTAAGAATATAAAATTCATCTCGACTCAAGCTTATCAAAGTGAACATGATGATCGGACAATTAATATATCTTTTAAATTGTTCACTAAACAGTATACAATAATATGTAGTAGTCACCATATACATAAATATAATATAAGAAGTCAGCATATACATAAATATAATATAAGTATACATATTAAAATTATTCCTATGAATGGAATAATGTAAATACTAGAAAGCTCATCCCGTGCAACGCACGGGTGAAAATTCTAGTTGCTTGAATGGTAATAGGAGTTTATTGAACCCTATCTGGCGTGCATAATTATTGGGTAGAGAGAGATGTACGTAAGGAGTAATGATTTTTTTTTTTGAACGAAGGGAGTAATGCTTTTTTTAACGAAGGGAGTAATGCTTATCCATTCAAACAAACTGATTGTGAAGGGAATTATCTATTGACATAATTTTTCATTTTAAAGAAACATAAGGGCAAAATCTAAAAATTAAGAATCTAATGATTGGACTCAATAGCAAATAATTTACTAATCAATTTCAATTTGGAAAACTTTACTTTATTAGCACTAAAGTAGATGGAAAACTAAAAACTCCACTACGTTATCCAAGGAGATCCACTCTAATATTGATGTAGCTTAATCGTAGTCGACAATATATTAACTATAAGGCATTTTTTTTGCTTTTTCCATAGAACCCTACGGTCAATAATATGAGTAGCTTGTGAGAATAGAAAATAGTCTCACAACTATTACAACACATTAAATAACTTAGCCCATATATTAGAAGATTTGAGTTTTTTTATTACTAATTGTCCGAGCTTTGTAACTTCCGGTTGCAATATATATACGCCGTATTTTTTATCCTTGATACTAACATTTTTGAGCGATGATTTGGTCATTCTTCCACCTTACTTTGTATATAGATAGATAGTCACGGAGTAGTAGTAATTTTTTTTGTGAAAGAATACGGAGTTTTAAATCCGAAAAAAATATAATCTCTATTTAAATAATAAAGAGTTTTTTCCTGAAATAATGCTAATTAAATAAATAATTCCCAAAATACTGTTGGGTTAAAAATAATTCTCAAAAACATGCTGGAGTTAAACACGGTTAAGAAAAACCGCCACTTGAAGTGGTGGTTCATCTGTGCAGTACAAAAGCCGCCACTCCAAGTGGCGGCTCTTGTGTCTAGTAAATACAACATCAGCTCATTCAACCAAAAAACAAAAATATGCTCCTTAGTCATGTCAACTCAGAAACATCAAACAACTACTCTTCAAAGTCATTATATGTTGCTAAAAAACAAAACAAAACAAAACATATACAAGACACAAAACAAATCAATGGAACTACATTGGGTCACAATACTGGAAATATCACATAAAGTTGATAATAAAACAAATGTTTCAGAAAATAATTCGATAAGCTAGTTCATGTTTCACACAATAATGTAACAGTACAAATATCACAAGTCAACGTGATCATCATCATGAAGCTCATGAGGCTGTGGTTGTGCATGTGCCTGTGGCTGGGGGGCATGTGCTGGTTACGAGTCTGAAGAATCCCTCTATCACGTCGTAGTGGCTGGGAAGACTTTACCGTGGATGTAGATGTCGTGGAATACTGAGAGACGACCACATATCCATGGTCTACTCGTCCCAATACATCAGTAGATTCGGCACACAGTGTAGCAATGCTCGAGCATACCTCATGATATCCATGTACACCTACCGCCTCATCAAGTACATCAGTCGCTTTGTCATGGATAATATGCAAAGCCCATGTTTGTAATGAAGGCATGGTTATCAGTGATAAACACATGAATACGTAAATATATTAGTGATAACCATGGATATTAGTGATGATAAATAAACATGTGAATCAAGCAACATGTTATTTATTTATAGTCAAAATACATACATTAATACATACATTTACTAATACAGTAATACATACATTTACGAAAATATAATTAATTTATCATGTGTTTTATTGCTCTAGGTAAAAGAACAAATAATGTCATCAACTCATAAAAAATTCACTAACTCATACATTACTTGCCAACAAGTTCATTTTTAAGGTGCATAATATATAGAAACATATCATAACACATTTCCCCAAATTGAAGTGCATTTGTTTTATTTTTACAACAGGAGTCATTTATTTAGTTTCATTAAAATGTTATTGTTATATTCTTTACGTTGGAAGGTATCCCATTTTTCAACATGGGCTGCAATTATCATCATGATTGCTGCCGATTTTTCGGCTAATTTCCGTGCAACAAAAGGGTCTACTTCATACTATGATGACAAGATTGATTGCCTATGTGACTTTGCGATTGCTCTATATAAATAGTCAATGTTTTGTGCTCACCTAAAATTATCATCTAGAAGTACAGGCGTTGCATTACTAATAACCATGGTTATCACTAATATATATTTATTCATGTGTTTATCACGAATAACCATGCTTTCATTACAGACACAAGCTTTGCATACTATCCATGACAGAGCAATTGCTTTACTTGATGAGGGGTAGATGTACAGGGATATAATGAGGTATGTTCGGGCAGTGTTTCACTGTGTGCTGATGTATTGAGCTGAGTAGACCATGGATATGTGGCCGCCTCTCAGTATTGACATCTACATCCACGACAGGGGGTCTTCCCAGCCATTACGACGTTACAGAGTGGTTCTTCATACTCGTAACCAGCGTAGACGCCCCCGATCACAGGCACAAGCACAACCACAGCCTGATGAGCTTTATGATGATGATGACGTTGGCTTGTGATATTTGTACTTTACATTATTGTGTGAAACATGAACTAGCTGACCGAATTATTTCTTGAAACACTGAATTTATTATCAACTTTATGTGATATTTCTACTATTGTGACCTAATGTATATTGAATATGTTTTCTATCTTAAATATGTTTTGTTTTTTAGCAACCTATATTGACTATAAAGAGCAGTTGTTTGATGTTTATGAGTTGACTGGACTATAAGAAGCGGGTTTTTGTTTTTGTTGTTGAATGAGCTGATGTTGTATTTACTGGGCATAAGAGTCACCACTTGGAGTGGCAGTTTTTGTACTACACAGAAGAATCGCCACTTCAAGTGGCGGCTTTCCTTAATCGCGATTAACTCGAGCAGTATTTTGAGAATTATTTATAACCCAACAGTATTTTGACAAATATTTATTTGATTATCATTATTTCGGGGGGAAACTCAATTATAAAAGCAAATTTTGGTTACCATTGTCCTTTTTGCATCCAATTTAACACCGCATTTACATGGAAATGTAAGAGCCTATTTACTAACAGAGAAATTTTTCAGTTTTCAAGAAAACTAAAAAACTGGAAAAACAGAATAGTTTTTTTTTTACCCAGAAAAAATTACATTCTAAAAGAATGAATCCCAAAAAAATCCATCCAATAAGCCCGTTTTACCATAATCGGTAATTGATCCGTATGATGATAAATATTAAGCCTGTTCGTCCGGATTTGGGCCAAGAAATGCGCGGCCCAGTTGCCCTCCCTTTTCACATGACCCATCTGTAGATGTTTCCTAAAAATGTGTTGTGCACTTTCCTGAATCTCTAGCGACCATTGTCTTCCCTCTTTACCTTCGAAGTATTCAAGCGCAAGTTTGGAATCCGATTCCACCTGAAATCCGGTGTATCCTTCTTCCACAGCCCAGCAAATAGCAAAAGAAATAGCTTTGACCTCAGCTTCCAAAGGAGACGAAGCCAGTAGAGGGAAGCTCAAAGCCACAATCAGCTCGCCATTTCGGTCACGCATAATAGCACCTCCCATCGCCTCATCAGTTAAGTAACTCGCATCCACGTTTAATTTCCAGAGCTTTGTAGGCTTTCCCCATCTGATAATTTGCGGTCTAAAATTTTTGAGTTTAAAATTAACAGGGAGTAGTCCTTCCTCTCGCGCTATGTGACCAATGTACCTGACCGTAGTAGTAGATAAACTAGCAATCCAGTTTTGGGAAAAACAGAATAGTGTTTACCCAAAACAACTGCTGGAAAACTGGAGAAAGGAAAACATAAAAATGTCTTTACCAAATCGTTTTCCAAAATGAAAAAAATGAGATGTGTCTCTCTTTTCCTTAATGATCTCGAGAAACGACTTTTACTAGTTTTCCAAATTTGGAAAACGCGGATCCTGCTGTGCCGCTGCAATGAATTTGCATACTTACGCCTAGTGGTGGATCCAATCTCACTTCGGTGTCTGTTCCAGTCCGATCAACGACCCGACGTTCCATATCTGGTCCGATCAACGACCCGGTGGTCCGGTCCAGTCATTGACCCCACGGCCCTGTCTGGTCCGATCGACGACTGACCAATCCTTGTCCTGATCGGTCGACGACCTGCTGGCCTGGTCCCTGTCTGGTCCATGAGCCGGCGGTCCCTGTCCAATCCGGTCCACGACCCTTCGACCCCTGTTCCGTCTGGTCAAT